GCCATGGCCTTGGCTGAACTGGCAGCTCAGATGCTGCAGGAAAACCTCCTTTTACCCCTGCTGAACGAGATCAGACTGGCTCTGCATTAGTACAGTACTTAACTCAGGTCTGATACTGCTCTGCGGGGCACTTTGACAAGTCCCATATACAACTGTGTGTTGTACTGAGTGAAATGACTGAAAAGGAACGTAAGGTTATGAATATAACCACGGTTCCTTGAAGGAATGGAACGAAGTACAACACCTTGTTGGCCCCGCATCACAAAGRCTCGGTGAAGTGGGGTATCTAATTGAGTAATGACGCTGGTGACTCCGAACTTATAGGGTGAAGACAGAGCCTGTCACCAGACGTTCAATGTCACCACGTCACCAGTCTAAAGACGTGATTAGAGGTGGCTTCAGCCAGGCGTGCGAGGGCGCGTGTCCCATATACAACTTTGTGTTGTACTTCGTTCCATTCCTTCAAGGAACCGTGGTTATATTCATAACCTTACATTTTGATTGGTTGTTTCAGAAATGTGGTGTGTTTGTGGAAATGGGAAAAATAGGTTTCATGGTGCAGTCACGCACTCCTGGTCACAACATGTTCTCTAAATGTGCACCAAATGCGTAAAAACACGCACAAATGAACTCTGAAAGCTCTCACTGATTTTTACAGATGCCATGTGAAAGCATCACAGCTTTTGAGCTCAGAGGGTTAAAAGAAATAAAAAATTCCTGTATTCGCATCGTGATCTGGAACATCACCAAAATTTAATGGTGTGTTCTTTGGCCCAGTAGCCACATGTGGTAAAAATGTTGTGACAATTCGTCCACAAGTTTTTGAGCAATTTTGTCCACCGACAGACAGATCGACAGACCAACATGCGCGACCGAAAACATTACCTCGCCGTTGGCGGAGATAATAATAATAATCAATAATCCACACAGAAGCTTTGAAACTCATGGTTAAAAAACCTCACAAGCTTAGAAATAATATGTATGTTTTCTGAAAATCTCAAAATCTACCTACCCTTTTGTTCCGATCTGTCTCCTTCACTTCTTCTTCAGTCACTCCTTGTCTGATCATAATCTTGACAATGATGGTGTTGTTGTTGGAGCAGGCCTTGAAGAAGGAGATTGGCTCGGGGCTTGGGGAGCGGATAATGTGGGAAATGTCTGAGTCATCCAAGGGGTAGAAGGAATCGTTCGAGGTAAAGCTCYGTGTGTCTGAGCGATCTGGCAAGGCATCAAAGTCCAACTCCTCAAACTCCTGATAGATGTCATCCTCATCCTCCCAGTAGTTCCACGTGTGATCAGCTTCAGTCTCTTCATCCACCTCTGAGATTTCACACTGAGTTCCATTGTCATCAACCTTGCTAATGGACATAACGGGTGTCTTAATAGCCACGTTGTTGGATTTATTTCCAGTTGTGCTAAGTCCAACCCCTCTGGCAAAGCCATTCTCCTGAACCTTTGAATTTTGTTCTCGTTCCTCAGTTGTTAACACCATTTAAATCCTCACCTGCCCCAATTACCTTTAACAATTTTATGGGGTGATTTCACAATRTTTTGAGTGGCCAAATTTTATGTTCACCAAAATATAATTTTACGTTTTTCTAAACAGAAAGCTGAGTCTTACTAAGCAAAAGACATCTACTTATTTTAAATGAGTCAACAGATGTGACAGAAGAGGCATTAGATCGGTGCACTCACTGACTACCAGTCCTTCCTGATTGCTGAATAGATCTGAAGAGGATCTCCCACGTTAATATGTACACATGATGTACACAAATGGAGCTTGAAAAATCCAAGAGTATCCATGAGTTTCAAAAGGCAGCTCTCTTGTCCAATGCGACTTTTCTTAACAATCCCAGAAGCCATCAAACAGTACGATCATCTTACTAAAATCATGACCGTTCCCCCATCTCCAGATCAGATCAAAGCTGAAGTTTCCTTCAGCAGAATAGGCAACAGTCTCGATATGAAACTGATTAAGGTGAACAACTCATCTCGTGTTTCCCTGTGGAGAAACACTGTTTTCCTTGATGACGGCCAGCAGTGGGATGAGAGGGTTTCCATTGAGCTGCTCCAAGATAATCCATTTAGCCTTCATCTAGCTCCAGCCCTTCTGTTGGAATACAGGAGACTGAAAATGATGAGTGAGTACAGAAGGATGGTTTCAACTTCTGAAAACATTTTTTCTCCATGTATATTTTATAAAACAAAGCTTTTATCTTTATAGAACATATTAAAAAATAAACAATCAGTATGTGTTTGTACCAACATATATTCATTGTCTTTGCTATGACACAAATGCACTAATTAGTGAGTTGTCATTAGTTTATCTTTTTAAGCTGATCCCTTCCCCCAGTGCACTCAATTCTAACTGCTTAAAGTGGATTTCCCATCCACGTGACTTCACCTTTGCATAAGGTAAAGAGTTCATTTCAGCCATCTTGCCTTTTCCATGTCACTTTTCTAACTACTATACTTCTACATTCTACTAATTTGATAATTTTCTACAAAAAGCTGAAAAATATTTACAAAGTGAGTAGCAAACAGCATTTAAAAAGTATTATTAGAAAGTTTACTTGACATGCCCAATAAAGAAGTGGACCTAATTTGCAGTTTCCTTGTAGAAATGGTAATTATTTTAGAAAATGTAGTTTAATAGAATCAGTWAATGAAATAATTTATTTTATGAAGTGGTGGCTTTTGATGATGGGCTCAAGCCATCTTTGAGTGTAGGGGAGCCAGTATCTAGTCAGCGTTTGCCGCAACATACGTCGTATCTTGCTGGGCAAAATTATTTAGTTGGGAACATGATTTTTAAAGTGTGCCACTGAGCCCTTTTTTGAAAAATCACATCTTAYTCTTTTGTACACAACTAAACTGTATTTTTGGCCTTGCACATTCTTTCATTGTTGACCTCCACCCACATCATACCCACCCACCTTGACAACTGAACCCATGCGATTTAATCTACTGCAGTACACTTTTGATATGTATGAGAGGCCATTAGTATATGTGAGAGGGTTTGATAGTATATGTGAGAGCAAGTTTGAATTATGGCCTRAAGGGCCTCTCATAGAAATGAAGATAGGAAGATGTCATTTTTTTAAAGAATTATTTTTTAATTATTGGTGTGGAACATTTTGGGTCAATAAATGGCACTAATAAACAACCTGTAGGACACTGTCTTTTAAGGCTGCTTTTGCATCCCTTACTTCAGAACAGTAGTGTATTTTTTCTATTAAAAAWTTGTTTTTTTAAATAAAATGAAATTGAAGCCTTTGACGTGTTTTCAGGCAGCAAATCAATAAATGGTGCAACATAAATAAAGTTATTTGTTAAAAAATTATTAGATTCTAAGTTTTTTTATCCAGGTGTAAGATGCTCTCATGGGAAGATTAAATTCTGATTTTTATTTTTTATTTTTCTTTGTCCCTCATGTGATGAGGTCTGGTTTTACAGCAGAGCCTGGAAAGAAACTCTTTCTGACACTCCGCTAATCTCCCCAGATCTCCTTAGAGGAGGAACAGACCACAGGCGCTACCTCCATGATGTGATCACCGTGACAAAAGTTGATCCCATTGTGCATTTGAAAAAAGAAAAAAAAAAAAAAAGGAAGAAGAAGAAGAACAGGTAGAAAAAAATCTGATTTAGCTTGACATTGGAAATCTGGTTTTAGCAGCATATGCTCCTAATCTGCGCTTCGTCTAACTAAGACCGTGCATTAGCAGAAAGGTAATTGGATTTGGCAGAAATAACTCCACATCCTGTTTCCTGCAGCTGCACTCTCCAGCAGCACCAGAGAGATGATCCCATATCGGGCTAAGCTGTTATTAACCAATGACACCAAAGTGTGTTTGACTGATAGATGACATATTGATATGAGCACTGTGGTGCACTCCTGCCTCACTGTTGTACACCTAGCATCAAAGTTAAAAATTACTTCCTTTTTTCTGTAGGTATAATAACACGAGTGACTAAATGTAAGTGCCTGCATGGTGAATGCAACACCATTAACTTATCTCCTCTGTAATGTGTTCAAGGAGTCCATGAACCACTAATTGCAGAGAAGCCAGGCTAATCTTTCTGTTCCTGAAGGCAGCATCTTAATGACTTTAGGTACTGAACAGCAGAACTGTACATGGACACTTGGAGGAGTTAAAGCCATAGCTCAGATCTTTTTAAATGAGGTTCTGTGGAAAAATTATAAATATTTGATGTTTTATTTGTAATAAATAATTCTTTGAACAGCCTCAGTTTGGAAAAAATGTTTGAACTGTGCAGTTATTTGCTGAATCAGCCATTTCCTGCCACTATAGAAACTCACCATATGGCTCAAGTTGTTTTGTGTAGGGTAATAATAATTCAAAAGTTTGGTTTATTAAAGGCTGTGATACAGAAATAATTTCAGTCCATGCTTTAATTAAAATGAGTTAAGTTCAAGGCCCTTGGGTCAAATGCGGCCCATCACAACAATTTTGTCGACTGCGAGAGCTTCAAAGATATATTAATATACTGCAATATGTGAATGCTGCTTTAAAGCCAGCTTTGATAATAAACTACACCTCCCATAATGCATGTTGATGATTTTATCCATGGAACGATGGCATCCCAACCTCTAGGAGAAAGTGCACAGGGTTCAAAAGTAGCTGCCAAAATTTGTCATGTAAAAATCCCTATTTCGCTGCATTTTTGTAGGCTGCTTTTGTTAGCCCAATTGTACAAGTGGGAATTTCCCACTTACTAGTTAGTCGTCCGGTCGGAATTGTTAGAAAGTGAGTTCAAATTTCAAGATGACAGCTACTCAACACAACTTAACAGTGAGTAAAACTCTTACGTTTATGAGTATTTCAATATTATTTATTTCACATTAAATCAATTATACATGTGGTTATTTTCAGTGTTTATAAGAGGATATGTTTAAAATCTGTTTCTATGCAAGGAATATCATGTAGACCTCAGCCGAAGTAATGAAATGAGGAACAAAACATTTTGTGTTTAGTTGAAGTTGACCATGAAAAGTCAATSTTAATTATAACTGGTCCTTTGARGGCAACTATAATGCTTGTGTGGTTCTCAGTAAAGATGAGTTTGACACCCCTGCTCTGATACAGCATATTAAAGGTAATACACATGACTTTTCTAGGCCAAAACTATCAGCGCAAATAAAAATGGACAAACCAACTTCAATAGCCTCCACTGTCCAAACATTAAGGAAAATGTATC